AGAACAACATTTATCTATACAATAACAATACCTATCAATACCTACCTATCACACAACTGCCTACTTAGAAAAATGTGTTGCAATGTTATCATTAGATATCATCATCAGAGATCTTGCTAACTGCTGATAATCCTGATTTTTTTTTAATATGTAAAACAACTATTATATTAAAATAACATTTATGAGGTCATAAATATTTTTATATTTATAACGAATAATGATATTTATAAAGAATTCTTCTAGCTTTGTTTTATTTAGAAAGATAATTGTTGGTTTAAAAAAAAAAGAAAGGTTTTAAACAAACACTGGAACAATTTAATTAAAAAATTAGATCTAAAAATAGAAACTTTTTCAAGAATGCTAGAAGAGGTATTTAAATCAAAAAGTCAAAAAATTGTAAACTTATTATGATGAAAGATAAAGCTTAAGATTTAAAAACTAGACCAGAAGATTAGACTTTTTTTTATTTTGTTAAATAAAAAAATCTAATCTTAAGTAATCTCTTGTTGGCATTCTTCTTGAGTAGACTTCACATATAATTACTTTGCTTGATTATCTGGTGAAAGTTGAGGGAAATGTTTGATGAACCTAGAAATAAATAAATGTTAAATGTTGTAAATAAAAACTGTTAGTAGTTCACTACATCCTTGTTGTAAATTAAAACTATTAATTGTTCACTACATCCTAATCGTAAAAAGTAACTCTTAACTATTTTTTTTAATATCTTGATTGCAAGCAAAACAAAATGTGTAGCCTATTGAAATGATCTTTGCAAAATCAAAATATTTGGACTAGCTGATGTCTCCACTTCTAAATCTTACCAGCAATGAATCAAAAGTAATTCACCCACATATTTACGATAAGCAAACCAGATAAGGGCACGATTATTTCTGTTGAGACACACATCCAGTAATTTTCTTTTTGAAAATATATATCAATACAGTGAAGTTATATGATTTTCATTTAGATATTTTATAATTAATTAATTAAAAAATAATAATAGCAACATAACAAGATAAAGGGAGCAAATTCAAAAGAACTGAAATTCTTTAAAAAACTAGACGAAAAAGAACAGTCACAGTAATGAGATGAGACTTATTTGAATGACAAGAAACACGAGGATTAATTTTCCAACATAAGAAAAGACCACGAATATTAGTGAACAATATATTTAGAAAACTTTTTGATGACAATCAAAAAGTTCTCTTAATATGTTTTTCACTAAATTTTTGTATCAAAAACTAAAACACAATTTTTTTGTGTTTTATAGTTTTTGATACTTTAGTCATTTTTTAAATGGGTTAAAGAACATTAATTGAAGCACAAATGTACTGAGAACACTATTTAATAGTCCAAGTAATTGTCTCATTATTAATAATCAACCCTAAACCGTAACAAAGGACTTTAGATGTGGCATCGGCTATGTACACCAAAAGTACAAACCATTACACCATCCATGCGCAACATGGCGTTGTTACTACTGTGACTTTGGGACACAAGCATAACCCACTAATTGAATTAAGAAGATCCAGCATTCGACATCTTAAGCTGGAAACAATATTTTACAAAAAAATCAACGCCAGCCTAATAGATGAAGCTGGGATAAGAATGTATCTTGTCGAAGGCCTCCTTTTCTAGGAGGTGGTCTACAAGACAGTATCTGGAAGCATTTAATGTCAATTGTATATATGTATATATATATATGTATATATATATATATACATATATATTGTGTATATATATATATATACACAATTGTATATATGTATAATATATATATATATATATATATATATATATATATATATATATATATATATATATATATATATATATATAATATATATATATATATATATATATATATATATATACTTGGATTCAAACTGTTGCTTGAAACGATCAAAAAAAATATTTTTTTAATTGGATGATTTCGTCAGACTTTAGTAGCTATAATATATAGTGTCCTAATATCAGTCAAGACGTTTTTTTTTAATCCTAATATTTGTATCTCTAAAGTGAATTAACTTAATTTGAAAATTTTACTGTTATAAATCAAAAAATTGTTAACAAAAATAATTTGAAAATTTCATATTTTTATTTAAAAAAAAAATTTTTCATTCAAAACTAACTTTTTTTTTTTTAATTTTAGTACTTTGTTTTGTGTCTTATGACAGTTTGGTTGATTATACCTTTGAAAAAAAACGTTTTCACTTATACTTGGACACATTAAAAAATTATGTTCTTGAAAAAGTTTTAATGAAAATGATGGAGTTTGATTTTAAAATTCAAACTTATCAGTCTCTAAGATTAATTCACAGACTCCGATGCAAATATATGTAATTTTTGCTTAAGTTAAGCTTGTTCTTTTTTTTTTAATAAGGCAATGGTCCTGATTATGTATATGGAGATACTGGTTCATTTCGTATTGATGTTCATGCAAGCTTATACGATGATATAAAAAACTTTGATATATATATAACATTTGGGTATTTCTTGCAAAATGGAACATATTGTAAGATTTACTTTTATTTATTTTTTATTTTCATATATATATATATATAAATTTTTATTTTTATACTATATATAGTTTTATAATTTTATAAACTTTATATAATTGATTTTCTTAATGATTTTATAATTGATTTTTATGATTATTTTGTTGTATATTTTAGCCTCACAACTATTGCATTAATGTCAAACTCTGTTATATTCTACTGATTATCTTAGCTCCACGTTTCTTAAAAAATTTTAGCTTATGTATTGTATGTTTTTAAAATGTCACATGTTACCTGTTAATCAATGGGATTGATTTATATTGTCATACTTAAGTATTTGTAATCTTGCAAGTCATTTCAACCTGTATTACATAGTATTGCAAAAAAGCCATACTATGTAATACAACTAATGTAATACAGTTTGGTATGTTGTAATACACTATGTAATAAAACATACTAAACAAAGAGGTTTTCTGATGTATGTACATTATTTGTACATTATTGTCATTGAAAAATAGCCTTACTTTTTCCAGCAAAAGTAATTATTTGTCATAATATGCTACTAATAAATATTTCACAAATCAGTAATAATTGTTTACCCATTAACACTGATATAAATCACAAAAAATTTTAGATTAAAATACTTGATACCTCATCCAATAAAGGGTAAACATAATATTTATAACAATTAACTGCATTTTCTAAAAGATTGTGTACTAAAAGATTCTAAAAGATTGTGTTTTCTAAAAGATTGTATTCTATTTTTATTCCAGATTTTGCAAAGATTTTTCTTTACTATTTTTTAACTTCTTTTGAGAATAGTTTATTTATATTGTTCTTTGATTTTTTTTTAATAAAATATTTCCTGAATATTATGTGATGATAAATTCGCAGTTCAAAAAAGGCTTTAATTATTCTTAATATCTGAAAAAAATAAAAATTTTGATAACTTTTTTTTATTATTTTTTAAATATGCTTGATATATAACAAAAACAAACTATTGTTAATCTTTATATTACTGTATTGTTGTGATATAAAGATTAACAACTCACAAACTGCATTGGTAGATAATGATTGAGTATAAGTTGTGAGCTTTTGTACTAAAGTTTAATGGGCTCTTTTTTTCTATAGTTTTTGGAGTGGCAAATACCAACAGAGTTTTTTACAATATTTTAAGTTTCCTTGTAAATAGCTCATATGCAGTTGATTGGGTTGTTTTAAATGCAAGATATTCTCTTACTTCGCCTGGTTTTAATGTAAGTTTTTTTTATTTCTGGAAATTTGTTATTGTATTAAACTATAAAATTGGTTTGAAATATTTAATTTGTAGTTAACAAACTATATACATTAACAATTCAACACTTTTAAACATGTAGAAAATAGTCTGGTTTTGAACTCACCATTCAAAATATTTGATTAACTATTAAGTATTAATTACCAATTTTATTATTATGATATATATATATATATATATGTATATATATATATATATATATATATATATATATATATATATATATATATATATATATATATATATATATATATTCCAGTTTAGGATGTTGAATGCTGGATCTTCTTGACTCGATCCATGGGTTGCTTGTGTCTCTGTTTTTATAACTAGGCAACTCATTCTATTATCTTCTAATGAGGGTACAGCTCTAAAACTCCGTTTTATGGTTCTGAGGCCGGCTTGTAGTCAGGTTTCTCAAACTCTGAGGTAGCTCTCAGAGAGGCTGATTCCATCAACAGCTAAAAAATATCAAAGTACTAACAGTGCCATGTTGCGCATAGATGGTGTCCCTGTTTGTACTTTTGGTGTACATTGCCAAGGTTACATTGGATTCATTAATATTAATGAAGCAATTGCTTGGGCTATTCAACAGTTTACTGAGTACTATCTGTGTTTCGTGTCAAGTTCTTTAATAAATTTAAAAATGAATAAAGCAACAAAAACTATAAAGCACAAAAAACTACAGTCATCAACAAGTTTGCTAAACCAATCATTCACTAATATTTGTGGTCTTTAAAGTAACTTATCTGTTGAATCTTATCTCTTGCATAGTTCACCAGACCTACTTGCTCTTTGTGAGACTAATTTGAGTTCAGCTGTCTCGTCTTGTGATCTTAGTTTTGATGGTTATCTTCCTTTAGTTCGTAAAGACTCCAAAAGTCACATGCTTGGCCTGGGCATTTACATTCGTAAGAATTCACCAATATGACGGGAAACTAGGTTTGAATCCACAGACTACTCTTTTATGTGCTTTCGTTTAGCACCACTTCACTCTATCACCTTTCTCTTTGTTCTAAATGGCTCTCCTTCATCTTAAGACTGCACTCTTCTTGATGTTATTTCTGATCATATTGACCAAGCCCTCTCTCTTTATCCATCAGCCAATATTGTTATTGTCGGTGACTTCAATATTCATCACACTGAATGGCTTGGGTCTAGTTTCAGTGACTCTGCAAGCATTAAAGACCATAACTGTTACTTTTCTCAATTCCTAACTCAAATTGTCAACTTTCCAACTCGCTTTCCAGACAAGTCGAATCATTTACCTTCTCTACTAGACTTATGTCTTGTTCCTGATACTAGTCAGTGCTTAGTTTTTCCACATTCACCCTTAGGTGCTTCCGATCATGTTTTTGTCTCTCTATAACTATTATTTCATTCTCCTTCATCATCAGAATCCCCCTATCATCTTACATCTTACAACTACCTTAAAGCTGGCTGGGACTCTTTCCGTGATAGAAATCTTTTGTCTTGCTGTTGACAAATGTGCTTCTTACATAACTTCGTGGATTCAGGCTGGCATGGAATCCTTTATTCCCTTTCGACGATAACAGGTCAAGCCTCACTTTTCTCCATGGCTTTCCCCACATTGTGCTGCTGCAATTGCCAATCAAAACATTACTTTCATATCTATCAACAAACAATTCTCCAGAAAACAGACCCCTGTTTATTACTGCTAGGAGCCATTGTAAAAAGATTTTGTCTATCGCCAAAGCCCCCTTTTCTCAGATCATGAAATATTGTATTTCATCACAAAATTGTGGCCCTTGTGACTTCTGGAGAATCTTTAATAGTATCAATAATAAGGGCAAGTTTGTACTTCCACCTTTTTTGTATGGTTCAGACTTTGTCACCTTACCTAAAGACAAAGCTGAATTGTTTGCTAAGAACTTTCATTCAATATCATCTCTTGATTCCACTAGTTGCGTTTTACCTGATATAGCCATCAAACAGACTGATTCATTGCTCGACATCTGTATCACTCCAGCTTCTGTATCTAAAGCGATTTACTGCTTAGACTCTACTGCAGTTTGTGGCCCGGACAACATACCTGTTGAAGTTTTGCAGAAGTGTTCTCGGGAGCTGTCGTCTATCCTTTTAAAACTAATTAATAAGTGCTTATCAGAGTAATGTTTTCCAGCCTGCTGGAAATCAGCATCTGTTACCCTTATTTTTAAAAACTCTTGAGAGCGATCTGATTCGTTTGACTACCATCCCAATAGTCTTCTTCCTATCATAAGCAAGATTTTTGAATCTTTAAATAATAAACACTTAATCTCTCATCTTGAATCTAATAACTTACTTTTTGATCATCAATATGGGATTCGATCTTCTCGTTCTACGGTTGATTTGCTAACAGTAATAACCGATAGGTTTTATCGTGATTTAGATAAAGGTGGAGAGGTTAAAGCCATCGCTCTTGACATTTCTAAAGCGTTTGATAAAGCTTGGCATATTGGTCTTCTCCATAAGTTTTCTTCTTTCGGTGTATCTGGAAACATCTTTAAGATTATTGAACCCTTCCTTTCCAATCGTAGTATAAATGTTGTCCTTGATGGACAGCACTCTTCTTCTTATTCTGCAACCTTAGGGGTTCCTTAAGGTTCAATCTTTGGCCATATACTAATTTTAATTTACATTAACGATCTTTCAGATATTCTTACATCTAAGGTGGCGTTGTTCGCTGATGATACTACCATTTATTCTTGTCACGATAAGAAGCCAACTCCCTCTGATTGCTTGCAGGGAGCATTTGAGCTTGAAAAGCTTTCAGGGAGCATTTGAGCTCTTTCTGCTACAGCATGGGGCTCACAGTGGGTGATGAACTTTAATTCAGATAAAACTCAATTTTTTTCCAACCAATCGTTATCGCAATAATTTAGACCTTCCTACATTAATCAACGGTAGTGTACTCGATGAGTCATCTACCCTTCATCTTTTACAATTAACTATTACTTCTGATCTTTCTTGGTGAAAGACCTTATATCAAATCTGTTGCAAAATTAGCATCTGGTAAAGTTGCATCTCTTTATTGAGTTCGACATACTCTTATTCTAGATTCTATTCTCTATCTCTATAAATCTCAAATCCGGCCTTGTATGGAATACTGTTGCCATATCTGGGGCGAATCTTCTAGTGATGCCCTTTCTCTTTTAGACAAGGTGCGAAAACGCCTTGTAAACATAGTTCAACCTGCTCTTGCAGCCAACCTTCAACCTTTGTCACATCGTCTTGTATTCAATTTTAATAATATATTTTTATATTATTTATAACATAAAACACTTTATTTAAATTTATTTGTAAATACTTTATTCACGTATATATGTAATTTTTTATCGTATTTTTGATTGTATGCATATCCAACAGTAATGAAACGGCCAAAACTCGAAGAAATTTGATGAATTATAATTAAAATTTAATTCTTATCGAGTTGCGTTATGGAAATTTACTAGTATTTGACTTTTTGTCAAATACTAGTAAATTTCTATAACGTTCAAAATTAAGCTCTGAAAGAGTTTTATACAGAAGGTTTTACAAAATTCCAAAATGTATATTTCTAGTTTTTACGAGTTTCGCGAGTAAAATTTAGTGTTGATAAAAAATCGGGTTTTTTGCACCATTTTGACAATTTGTCAATGTGCTTAAAATCATA